CTTTTCCATCAATAACCGTCGAAAGTTGCTATTAATCTGTGCAAATTATTACACGTTTAATAATTTTACCGCAAACAACAGCCTGACCAATCCTATCAAGAAGATGGAAGAAATAACAGTACCAGTAACTGGTTTCAAACCTATATATTTTTTGGTTAAAGAAAATTGTTACTAAACGCTTCCCGCCTAACAGTAAGCATTAGAGACAAAAATAGGCTTCGCTGTTCACTCTCCTTCCCTTAATAAATATATCAAATTATGATACGCAACTTGGGTTTTTGCATTTCAGATATGCGTAGGTTTTGTAGTAATGCAGAAGAAGAGCAGTTTAACTATATAAAGGAGAAGGTGGTGAACAGTAAAGAATGCAAGGCAAAACTGATTGCCTTTTATATGCAACAAACAACACTGCTATTAGTGTGACTGAAATTTACACCAGTGTAATGGAAGCTGCCGTTGAAAACGGTCGTTTGCAATAACTGGCGATGCTTCTGGATGTTCATAGATTATCTTTTTGTTGCGCTCTAAGGGCACCGTAATACAATCACTTGTATGCTACTGTTCGGTAACCCATAAAACATCGACAAAAAAAAAGAAACAATAACAATAAACAAGACATAAAAACTTGATAGCGCCTATTAAAAAGTGCCATGTAAAAATAAAAAAAAACGGGTTGCCTATTGCGTTTAAATTAATGTTATAACTTATGACGTTAACAAAATAAATTGTCTTTTGAACAGCGTAAACAAAACCAGCACTTGTTTTTACACTGCTGTTTAGTTGGCAATTTAAAAAACAATTCCAAAACGACAAAGTAAGTCGTTTTATTCTTTTTAATTACTGCTTACAACTGTCGATTTACTTTATCGTTTAGACTTAAACAACATATCGAAAACAATCACTGCTTACTGTACGCTCATTAGTCTTCTGCAAATGAACAAAATATTACCACAGCTATTCCGAAACAAAACGTCGCAATTTTTTTTAAGCTTTTAAGTAAAATTGAAAATCTATTTTCCA